CCGTGCTGATGACGACGAATCGTCATTGACGATGAGAGCGCTTGCTTGGATTTGTAGTGTTCCATTTGTCAGGTGGTCGTCGTGGGTGACAAAGTTATTGTATTGGCAATACAGTATTGCTCGTTCCTTTCAGTGCTACATGTACAATCCGGTACAGCTACGAATCCGGAACGGGAAGATCATATTCGCAATTAGAACTTTCAAATTCGTCATAGCACATTCATGTTCATCTGAGGGCGATAGGAAGTTCGAGTTTGTGATAGTTGAACTTTCAAATTGATTGGCTATCAATCTGAAAGTTATCAATGATAGCTATTACCTAGTGCGAATGATACTAAATATAGAAGGTTATTGATGTTGGATAGTCATTACTACTATTATCATCAATATTTGTGAGTACTTCATCCTCTGATTTAGGCTTACCCCGGAGTTCAACTCCGGGAGTTCAGATGTCTGCCGAGAGTGGTAAAGACTCCTTGCTATCTTGAGATTTTTCGAGCGCTCTAGACTCTGACATGTAGTGGAATTGAGCGAGGTGAATCAAAGCTCCTCAAAGGGTAGAGGGGAATCCAGCACTATCTTCATCATCTTCAGTGACTCCAAAAAATTCTATCCTCGATCTTCTCACGTAGATCATCTCGGAGGGATTCACGGAACTTCGCCGCGATGACTTCATCATCGATGTACCGATTAGCAGCAGTTCTCATTAGACGTGCTTGGATCTCCACGCGATGAGCAAACTGCGTGGGAGTTTCCCCAAGCTTTCGCCGAAGGGATTGCCAATTTTGGCATGGTGATATCTTGCGCCAGGCCGCATTATAGGTTTCGTCTAACCTCTCCCAGACTCGATCGATAGATAAGCCGTCAATGAACTTTCCTCCACCTTCGTCTCCACAGGGTCATCGAGCCTTTCAGGAGATATAGACGGGCAGGAAGACCTTCGAGCTTGAATAGTTTCAAGCTCTTCTCCACTTTGGCCTTGAATTATTGATAGGGAACCTCGCTAGATGGGCCAGACCATGGTTGCTTCACACATAGTCTCAATTTTTGCACGTCCATGGTGGTCTGTACCGAAGATTCGATCCCGGTAGAATGCCGTGTTGGCGTCACACGTGATGAGGCAATAGGGGTATCCACCAGTGGGGATGCAGATAATCCTTCCTGACCATCCTCATTTCCACCTTGACGAGTGCTGACACCAGCCTTGCTCATTGTATTACTGATATCTGGTAACTTATATTGAGAAGGGGTTGTGATCAACAATAGACCGATGAGAGACGACCAAAGAAAACTGAACTTGTGATCATAGCTATGAGTACCATCGGCAGTCACTGACTTTGGGCCTGTTTCATAGGAGCAAATTGCGCCTTAAACTTAAGTAACGCCTTAAGTATACCTTAAGTAATTAGGACATCCTATTTCACTACTTAAGTAAGCACGTTAAGGCGCCTTAAGTTTAGGAATACTTAAGGCGCCTTAAGTTTCTGTGCATATACTCAAGTATTCACGAGAAGCATTTCACAACATGCGTACTTAAGGAGCAACTTAAGTATTTCTTAAATTTTACTAATGTATAGCCGACCCTACCTAAATAGATACTTAAGTACCGTGTTCGAATATTGCAGCCCACAGGGGTTGAACCAGGGACCCTTCGAAGTACGATGCTTAGATATTGCATCTCGCAGGGGTCGAACCGGAGACCTTACGTATGGCAGCACGGTGCTCTCCCACTTGTCCAGAGAGGCAAAAAAATCCAACCAAGAGTTCATTTCCTTCACGCAGCAAAAGCCGAACCGAACTTCACAATATGGTCACCTTTAAGAATCAGCCACTGCAAAACGTCGAGGAGGCAATGTTTGCTGCTTGTGAGCAGGAGATGAGGATCTGGGTCAATCACAGTCATCTCGAATAACTCTGATTGACCCAGATGCTCCATTGGATGGTGTCGGGAACGCTCTTCGCAAGAGCTACGTTCGCAGATAGTTGCAGCGACTTCGTGATATTTCAGTGATTTGCGTCACCGTTGAGTTCACATGAGTATATTTTCTACTTAGCGGACCGTTGAGTGAAAGGACGTTTATTCTAGCTAACATTGTAATTCGTGGGAAATCCCCTTGTAGCTCGTTACCAATGGTAACTTACCATTGATACCTTACCCATGATCGAGGAAAGTAGTTGCGAAACAGTAAACGACCATAGAAACAGCATACCTCAGATTTGTACCTGCGCCGAACGTATGGTAAACGAACAACCTAACCACTGGAGCATTTACACCACAAAACTGAACGTGTGATTCTATTCTATACCTGTAACCATGGTTAAGTAGATACTTAAGTACGCCTTAAGTTAAGGAGCTCCTTAAGTTGCTCCTAAACGTTGTGAAATGAGTTGAGTACTTCTTAAGTATACCTTAAGTAACTCCTTAAGTTGCTCCTATATTTAAGGCGCCTTAAATTAAGTATCCTTGTGAAACAGGCCCTTTCTCTCATCGGATGAGAGAAATTGTCTCAGAGAATATCGACAAGAGAAGCACAAATAGTTTTTCATAGTTTTCTCGCGGAATAAAAGGAGAAGCAGACATTATTTGTAGACAGTGTTTCGAGCCAGAGTTTGTAGGCAGATATTTCGATGACAAAAGAACCATGGAATGAGAAGGTGGAGAACATTTCGAATTATTAACTTTCTAGCCTAGAATAGAGTTCAAAAAGAGGAAGGAAGACTGGGCTGAGTGACTCAGCCTGAGTCGATAGTCCTTACATCTTCGCCTCCAGAAAAATCATCGATATAGCTAACGACGATAGTGGGAAAGTATGCCCTGACAGAAAGACCAACGCTTGTGATACGCGAAGATAGTTTCAGACACTCGATCTGACCCCACAGGCCTAAGCAAAGTGTCTAAACAAATATAAATGGGCCGTAGGCGGATTACGAAGTGCGACAAGAGTAGAGGTGTGCGGAGGAAACGACGCGATTTGCCGATAAGGACTTTGGTGGTCAGCACCCCATATGCGGAGATCAAGATCATCTGGCCAGGGATCCGACAGAGTGCTGTACATCTGTGTAATCGAGTCAATGGTGGGTACTACCCACTGGGTAGAGTCATACGACGATCGAAGTATTGGCAACCATTCAGACCCGACGCATTCAGCCTCGTTTTGGAGACCTGGCGTACGGGAAATCTTCGTGGAATCAAAGTCAGTCGCATAACTGTCGCCGTCGATGGAGCCAGCCATGGTGTGGTTCAACCACAGTGGCTATCGACTCCATCAATAGCCGCCTGCCACAAAGTGGCAATGCCACTGTGGCATCATCAGTGCTCGGAGACTCTCGTTGCAAGCGTTGGTATGTTAGGTCGTCCTTGAGAGAGCCTGTATGTAAAATAGTGTTGGGTCAGTGTACGTCCCTTTTTGGGAGACACCCTCAGCGAAAATGTTACCCCGGGTGTAAAAATTGTCATGAAATGACAAACCATAGACCAACTCCAGTGCAAGTGACGAATCACAATAGTTGGCACGAGTTAACAGGACGGCCATGAACGGTAGATGTAAGTGAGAACAGAATTCGAGAATTTGTGGAGATATAAACATAAATTCGAGAAATGTATTTCGGCTAACCCGAGTTATGGTCGAGAGGGTGACACGAATTGTGCAGGTGCTCGTGCGGTGAGGTAAGACTCGAGCAATTCACAGGAATAGAAGTACGTTGTCTGAGAATCCGGGCTTCAGAAGAGGCGTGGTAGTGGATGCCACCATGGGATATAGTTATTAGAGGATCACACGTAGGCAAATTATGGTCTGGCGGAAGGGGCAATAGCTTGATGGAGCCATCAGATGGAGCCATCAGGCAGAGTGACAGGATGCAAGACATACTTATCGGCGACTCAGTCGACGACGCAGCTTGCGTCTGCGTTTGTCTATTGAGGAGGAAGAGACAGGCGTAAAGGAGGTAGGTAATAGCTAGGAGAATTTGCGCCTTACTGAGATAAAGAAGAGACACAAGAGCCAATGAATCATTGGCAATGATGAACAACAATGCAAAACATCAGCATATCATGCATCCCTAGGGATAGACGAGCTCATGCACTGTTATCAGGGCCACCCCTTCACTCAAGATAGCAAGTGGGAACACGGTCGCAGTCTACCCTTGAAACGCTGGGAACTACTTCTTAGCTCTGACTTAGCCTGAATATGGAGTCTGAACCCTCGCAAATGATCGTTCTTCGGGTGAGCCTTGGATACAACAGTGTGAGGAGTGATGGCCTCCGTCGAATTGAGGGGATCACGGCAGAGGGAGCATGGAGGCCGGATCGATCCAGTCGATGATCGAAGTATTGCAGTTCACGTGAATACACCTCAAACATCAGTAATGCGCGGCTGTTGGGATCCAGTGCAGAAGAGGGGCAGATAAAAAGAAGGAATCAGCAGCGAGTCGGCGGTTTGGTGGCGATCCATGGTACTTTGATGGCACGAATCCAATTAAAACCGTTTAAGATTCTGCCTCTAAACTTGGGTAGGCCTTTTCACGCATACATAGAGATAACCCCCACAATGCCGAGATCTGAGGTATCTCCTGCAGCTGGGCTCCATATTTCTCTAGGGCACATCACTTGAAATATTCCTGTATGAGCACAATCTTCCTACTTTTTCACATAGCGTACTACGCTAAGCGTAGGGAGTTGGAAATGTTCCACTCTTTTCCTTTTAACTGTAATTACAGTAGGTCGTCTCCCCAATGGACAATCTCCATTAGCTAAATCCTCTTGTGCGTTGCACGCAGACACACAGAGCTTTATACATGAGGGGAAGATGCCACTTATCGCTGGCTGTGCCAGTGAGATGAGCAACACCACGATGTCGATACTCTTCATGGACTGTGAGTCGTAATGTCTCCATTGATATGCATACTGCGAGGAGTCAACAGCCCTATTCGCATTGAATCTCTGATTGAGTACAAGTGGCCCAGGGCCACTGGTCCTCCCTGATTAGGAATTACACAAGACTGTCTTCAGCTTCAACTTTAATCTCTGTTCCATATAACTTTTCCCTGTAAATGATCCACATTATGTTCTTCTTCCTCATCCCCTTCATAGGGATAAACTACTGCGTCGATGCCCTCAAGGCAAGTAATGCCCGTTTCACGGCTACCACCACCAAGTACTGTAACAAGGATCTCCTTGACGCGGACGGTAACCCCGCACCTTGCGGCAAGTCCATGGCTAGAGAGACTTATGGCCTCACGCTTCCCGGCATGGAAGATGGTAGCCTAACTACGAGGCAAGATGTTATCGTCACTGAGGAGGGTCAGGTTAGAGTCGAGGCCTCCCCCAACCACCCCTATCAGTATATGATGTATGTTGAAACCCCTGAGATGCACAAGGTCGATCAAATATTCATGAATACAGCCCGTACTGTCCTCGAGGAGACTCGTCCTTCTCATCGCATGCTCACTGCGGCGACACAGAACACCCAGAGCCTTGAGGAGAATGGGTGGATCAAGGAGGGCATGGAATCACTCGACGGTGGCTCGTATACCAAGTGGTCTCATCATGGCCCTGAAGGAGTGGACCCAAAGGATGGCACCAACTACACTGCCATTTATCAGACTGGTCTCCAGCCCAACGTCTGGGTCCTCTATACTGACGAGTCTGCTAACAAGCCCTATAAACTATTAGCCATCAACACATATAAGAACGGCAAAGTCTTCCAAGAGACTACCATTCATCAATGGAAAGATCTCGGTGGGAAGGCTGGTGTTCATGAGGCCACCAACGAGATGTTATCGACTTACAATGTCGACTCCTCACGTGTGCTCTCGACTGGTGATGTGCATGCGCCATTCGTTGATGCCGGTTACCTCAACGTCGACTATATCCCTGAGAAAGCTCGTGCTTTCTTTGAGGATGGTAACGACTACGACTGGATGCCGAAGCATAGCAGTCTTAGAGTGGGTACCACCGGTTTCAAGGAGATCCAATACTTCACTATTGAGAAGGGCTCTGCTGCTGATTCTTTTTTCCGGGTCAATACCAAGAGGAATCTCGTTCAGCTCCATAAGTTCGAATTCCCCAGCAGCTGCAAGGGCAAGGAAGGCAAACAGATTCCTGGCAAGTACTGCCTCTTCGTCGAAATCGATGCCACCACAGACCCTTCAATTACGATCGCAGCTGGTATGACTTTCGTTGATGTTAGCAATCCGGATATAACTGCTCATTTGAAGTTGGGTGTAAGCCTCAAGGACACCCATGGTTCTGCAGTTCTCGACCTCTCCTTCGAGGCTGGTGGCTGTGCCGTCGTCTTCCAACTCGGCGATGGCTTCAGTCTCTCTATAAACGTGTGCATCACTGGTAAGGCATCAGGCGAAAACCTGTTGCAGCCCGACAAGCGCACGTTCTCTGGCTCGATCGAGCTGAAGGTTAGTTTCAACGTTAATGTGCCAGTCGTTGGTAGCATTATCAATTGGGCTATCACAGCTAAATTAGGCGTTACTGCTAAACCCAAGAACGAGATTACTGCTTATGGCAGCATCGGAACCAGCGTCTCTTTGTACTTTGCTGGTGCTGGTGTGTCCATTGATATCAAGGGCCACTCCGTGGATCACTTGGCTAATAAATGGGAGTTTGTCTCTGGTGTCAACTTCAACGCCTGGGTGAAGGTCTTATTCTGGGGTAAATCTTGGAACCATCGTTGGGAGATCTGGCACGCCGGTCCCGTAACCTTTTAAGTACATTCTGATACTGTATATTGTCCAACCTTACCGGGATCAAACCCAAGGTTGATATCGGGCCGTGCAGTCCCTCCCTATCACAGTGTAAATATTCATATTTCATTCTCTTCTACTTTCCTTTGCCTCAGTGAAGGCGTATCGCTTAATATTTAGTCACTAAATCGCTACTAAATTTCAGTAGCGATTTTGGTGACCATAATATGGTTCGGCATAATCTCTATGTCATGGAATGTCGTACCGGTGTGATGGTGGTTTTCAGTGGTCTGTGTAATGGTTATGTTTTATTGTTGGTGGTTCTCAGTGGTCTGTGTAATGGTTATGTTTTATTGATGGTGGTTTTCAGTGGTCTGTGTAATGGTTATGTTTTATTGATGGTGGTTTTCAGTGGTCTGTGTAATGGTTATGTTTCATTGATGGTGGTTTTCAGTGGTCTGTGTAATGGTTATGTTTCATTGGTGGTGGTTTTCAGTGGTCTGTGTAATGGTTATGTTTCATTCGGCGTGATACAATCCGGCAATCGCTTCTCCGGTATTGTTTTTGGCAATTTCTGGTATAGGTGTTGGCAACCAAATGTTGAAAGTAGCAAATTTAAAAGTATTTTTCTAGCAAGCCGCTCTGCTTTGATCCTTTTTTTGCTGAATTGTATATTCCCCCGGAGTGTTGTACACGCTGGCACTTTTGCCCAAGTGTGCTTCGCCCGCACGTTTTCGTTATTCTGGCAAGTTGTGCCCATTTGCTGTTTGATATGTTTTGCGTTGTAATTATAAAGTCTGGCATTTTTCAAGGTTTGCTCTTGTGGGATGTTCCTGCATGAAATATACAACTTGGCAGTTGCCGGTATGTGACAACGCTGCGCTACTTCTATGTTTCGGCTTTTTGCTCTCTTGTAACCTACGCCCTACGGGAATATATACTAGCGTTTTGCTCATTCGCTCAAACTGCGTCTCCCTTAGCACAATTAGCAAACTTGTCATTTTGCATCATTCGTACGAGCAATATACAATCGAGCAGACATTTCTCGTTCGATTACGGTATTGCCGCAATACTATTGCGCCTTATATCTTATGCTCCAGAACATGTTTGTGCCCTGTGCTGCACAAGGCACCCATGGGTTTGACCCTGGCGCGCTCAACCACCCTACTAAGTGCGCTGCACAACAACTGTTAAGTGCACAGGCTGTGCACTTACTAAATATCTTATCTATCAGACTCTGATAATCAAAGGTGTCACACCTCGTGTCTCACTTTGAGTGAGTCACTTAGTACCGGATCAAAGCGTGATAGCACTCTAGTGAGATATATCATTCACTCCGAAGACAGCGCGAGTTATAATCAATGCTGAATACCGAAAACATGATAACTCTTGCACGTCGCGATTGAATCAGATGAGATAACAGTTCAAATGAGTCCCCATCTTCGAGTATCCTCTCTTTTTGCATCGTTTCAATTGTGTCCCATGGTTTAATACGATTGTACGTATTGATGACTCAACAATATCCAGAAGTTGAACTCTAAAGTAGGCATTAGGTAAGTATTACGGGCAACTTTGACATTCTACACGAGAAACATTCACTGATGGGCAGTGGCACTTATCGGAGTGGCTTCGTAGAGCTATCCTTATGGACTGTGCAGAGGTGTAGAAGAATTGGACAGGGGTAACGCAACACAGACAGAATTACTACACCTTTTCAATCTCAAATTCAGCAAATGAAAGAACAAATTAGAAAAATGAAATTTGATTTTAGTCGGATGAAAGGAGTTTTTCACCGAATGAAAGTTCAAATTCGAAATGAAAGTTCTTTTCGTAGACCACTCAAAAATGAAAGTTCAAATTCGTAAATGAAAGTTATGAACTCGAAAACACAAGTTGAAATTCGTCAAACACAAGATCAATGAGTCTTGTGACGCCTTCTGGCATGTGCTTCTGGCTGCCGCCTTCCCAGCCGCCGCCGGCGGCCGCGCAGCTGACTGCCTGTCAGCCTTTCTGTCTTGCTACTACTCGATCGATCACGATAGTGACAGTAGAACTAGAGTTAGAATGAGGTTATTCAACGGAGTATCAGATCACACAATCAGTCCACCAGACTCTGTCCAGACTATAGACCATTTCAGAGACTCATACTTATAGAAAATCCAGAGACGGATCCAGCCGTTTCTAGAATCTGACACCGAAGGATAGATGTAAAGATTAGAACTCATATCCGAGCAATGATAGTGATGTCACAGTTCAATAACATATTAAATTGGGCGCGCGAAATATCTTGCCGCTGTTTGTGCTTGTACAAAGCCAACTTCGATAAGAACTCAAGTAGAATGGGTTTGGGAGAACGGTTTCCGCTAAGATTAACAGTGATGCCCGAATCAACGGTAAACCACGATAACAACAACTGTATCAACGACTTTAGCTATATCAGAAAGTATAGCTAATAAGTTATAATCGACTTCCTGCAAACTGCATAACCCTAATGAGGAAACACCGCGCTGCCAAGACGAGGCAACGCATTGTATATCCTGGGCGTGCGCTCTGCTTTGTCGCACATAGAAATATCAAGTTAGCGAGATTTTTGATCCTAGCTGGCAGGGAAATCTTAACAGCCCGTTGACCGTCCATGAATTGTTGGTAAATTGGAGATATCGGGAACGCTCCTGACATTCTCGAGACGTTTATGCTTCGAGGCTATCTCGTACGGGAGGGCAAGACTATGTGTATTATTTTCACAGTGATAATTGTGTGGTGCATTGTCGATTGAATTACCCTTTTTTTAATTAACAATATTCATACGTAGTGTTCAACATACCTCTCCTTAGTCTCAAGAGCGATCTCAGCTCGATATGTGGAATTCAATCTCTGGAGCGCTCTCGAATCTCAGGAATAATCTACTGGATACTCTTAGAGAATCTCGACGGCGGGTTTCCGTCTTGGTTCAACACTCCCATGAAATGAGCATCCAAACTCAGTGAATTTAATACATGAATAAAACTACCTCAACGCTGAAGTCTTGTCTACGGGATAAGACAAAGGGGAGTTGCTCTACGTGTTCGCTCGGATCTGATGCATCGACGATCACGGATTGCAGTGGTAGGTGTTGAGAACCTCTACTCTGCTCGTTCGCTTATATTTCCATCAGATACTACCGCATCATCAGATGCCGAAAATACCGCGCCCAAGCGTCGGTGTTTGTCAGTAACTTTTCCAGACCAACAGTCGACCTCTTCTGCGTGCTTTACACGGAGTCACTCATGCGTTGAAACGGCTAAAGTGTCCAATGGCATTCACGACTGTCTACCTACAGTCACTTTGGATGTACCACCGTATAGGAACGTAGAAGAGCCCTCGATACAATCATTGGCGACTTACCATTATGTGGAAAGTTATAAAGTAAACCCTTACGGTCATCTGAATGTTTGATTTTTCGCCTTCTTCAGGACTATAATAGGCGCAATTCGACATGGCATCCGAGTGTGTCAGCTGGTCTATCTTCTACTGAAGGGTGTATGGGTGCCATCTTGGCCTGCCTCAGTGTGCTACCATCTCAAAGACGATATCGTCTTCTCACACGATGATAGTGATTATATCGTTTCTGGATGTATTCGACAATAACACCTCGCATCACGCTACTATGACTATTACTATCATTAATATTTTTATGATTCTTCCTCTCTTCTCATAAGTTGGTTATCCAAGCTGTGACAACTGTACCAAACTCAGCTCGTATTATAGTGCTTCAACGTTGTTTGATGACTCCTCACAACTTGGTGCTCGGCATAAGTCGTTCAGACCCGATCGTGGACGGACTGGACAGTTCATTGAGAGTTCTTCGTCGTATCGAAGTAGCTGTACTTCCTCAGAGTTCTATACGAGAATTCTTCGTGGAGATTTCCGAAACTCAGATTCGATTTTCCTCATGCGCGGTGTCTGGAATAGCTGTAAATAACTTTTCTGTGATTTCGCACTCTACTACGCCGAAGTAAGTTCCACTATACTGTGTCAGTTCACTGAAGAACACTGTTAAACTTGCACATTACATTGAGGTTTTGCGTTTCTGATGGTGTCTTAATCGTACAATGGCGAGAAAACACATGTTGAAATGATCATGATTGAACAGTAACCAGCATAGAGTAATATATCGATGGTAATTAGCCAACACAAATTCCTAGTCGAACAAATATGTTGAAGGAATGATGTCATTGAGTCCATGTTGATTGTCCTCCTATTGCTGTGAGTGCGGCCTGACCTTTTCTATGAGAACGCATTTCTTCAATGAGGGTAAGGCTATGGCAATTAGCAGTAGTGCCTCTATAGGCCTAGTAATATAATATGTATTTTTTAGGTACGATATAAACAGGGGCATTAATATTATCATCCTTCAGTATTAATTAAGCAGTAGGAGTCTAGTCCGTGTCGCTAAATGTTGATCTGTGATGATACTGATGGTGATTCCCTCCAGCTTAATCAAGCGTATGACAGTGTTAGTGACATTGAGATAACACTACACTGGATATGTTTGCAGTAGAATGCCTTATAAGGCAGCCTGATTGTATTCAACCGAGGCAGACCATCTTCATCATAAGCTCGGCCAAGGGATTTTTCCACTTGAGAGAGACATATTGTGTGCTACGGAGAATTGGGACAGCGATAGTGATGCAGTGGGCCTGTTTCACATGGATACTTAATTTATTGTGCCTTAAATATAGGAGCAACTTAAGGAGTTACTCAAGGTATACTTTAAGGCGTTACTTAAGTTTAAGGCGCAATTTGTTCCTATGAAACAGGCCCAGTATCATCTTCCAATAACCAGGAGATTATCGAGTTTTGTAATGCCCTCCGTGTTTGTCTACTTCCATTGTGCGCTCGCGGGTAATTAATCATCATACTGCTAACGACGACTTATTCTCAGCCTATAAACTTTTGCTTGGTATAATCGTTACTAGTAATGTCTCTATTCTCGAGGCTTGATCCTTTGATAAATACTCGAGAGTCTAAAGCCAGTACACAGTTGACTGTACTCTCGTAAATTTAGGCCTAATCATGCGAGAGTTAATGTCTGTGGCTCACACTGGTCAAACACAACACCTTTCGAGGGGGCATAACAGTTGGAATATATCATACGATGTGTTCCCAACTGGGAGGGCCAGGAAGTAAACTCTTTTTCGTTCGCGCATAAGAGTTTTTAAACGAGCTTGGGTAAGTGGACTCATGAAAAACTACAACTGCAAAAACAGAAGATTCCCAACTAACTCGAACCCAATACCAACCGAGATTACACTATCAACACGCTAGCTTCAACGAGACATAGCGCTATGGGGAATGAATACGCCAGGAAATTGTTATTATGGGCACTGACGACTCGCGAACGCTGTGAAGCCAGATAGACGTGCTAAATGCCCAATACAAGGTATATAGAGAGAAACAAGAAGTGAAATAGTGTTAGGGTGTTGTAGAGTACTACTACTACTTTTGACCCTTGGTATACAAGTCGTAGTATACACCACGATTAGCCATAAGAACATCATGACTGCCAGATTCAACGATTTTACCATCAGTAATGACGTAAATAACATCACAATTACGAACAGTAGTCAATCTATGAGCAACAGTTACACTGGTACGACCAACAGAGGCGGTATCAATAGCATTCTGGACGATCTTCTCACTAGTAGAGTCCAATGCACTCGTAGCCTCATCGAGGAAAATAATATGAGGATCTCTCACGAGAGCTCTGGCAATAGCTGCTCTCTGCTTCTGACCACCCGACAGACGACAACCTTTCGGGCCCATCGGGTCGTCCCACTTCACGCTGCCTCCCATAGAGGTAACATAATCCATATTGGACATACTAGCAACCTTCTCCAGCTCAGCCATAGACGCATCTTCCTTACCGTAACGGACATTCTCAGCGAGTGTCATATCGAAAAGGACAGGTTCTTGACCAACATAACCGTTTTTGCTCCTCCACCACGCCACATCCAACATCCTGATATCATCGCCACCAATGCAAATACTGCCACTCTCAACATCATAGAACCTCTGCATAAGTGCCATGATAGTCGATTTGCCACTTCCTGAGGGTCCAACAAACGCCACCTGCTGACCTGGCTCAATGCGGAAGGACACCCCCTTGAGAATCGGCAATTCGGGGTTCGTCGGGTACTTGAAATGAACATCCTTGAACTCAACTACTCCATCACCCATATCACTGATCGTACCATCCGGGTGCATGGCGTTGATTACAGACTCCGTATCGAGGATCTCGAATACATCATGAGCAGAGACCTTAGCTTCAGCGACATCAGGGAGGAAGGCCATAGCCTGACCGACCGCCATAGCGGCGAACATAACAGCCATAAGCGACTGCAACATGTGGGAGTACTCCAAACCGTTGTAGACCATAAGGTGACCTCCATACCAGAAACCCAGGGCGTATGCCAGGAAGATGATACAGTTCGAACCACCAAAGAGAACACCATGAAAGATAGCGGTAGTACCAGAAGTATCACTAGCAATACTAGCAAACTCCGCATAGCGGTCAACAGTCCACGACTCTGCCATAAACGCTCTCACTGTGCGCATATTCTGAATGGCCTCCGACGCTATCAACTGCGACTGCTTGAGGTTATCCTGTTCCTTTTTTCCTGACATCCTCACAGACATGTTGAACTTAGCAGCCATCATCAGTAACGGCAGCATGGCCAACATCACCAAAGTCAGCTGCCACGATCCACAGAAGCCAATGATAACACCAACGATCAAACCAGTTATCGCTTGAGAATAGATACCCAAACTCGAACCAGTGAGAGAGTTCATCTTCACAGCATAGGTTGACAACGAGGCAGTCAACTTGCCAGAGGCGTGCTCCGGGAAATCAAAAAAGCCCATATCTTGTTCCATTATCTTGGCAAAACATTGCTTACGAACATTACATGTGAAATTTTCACCGAGGTAACCCAGCGAGCCCGACTCGATGAGCTGACCAAAGAATATCATCACTCCCAAGCCGATGTAATAGAAGCATATGTTATCAATATGTTCCATCACCAGAAATGGAGGATAATAAAATGCGAATAACGCACGCGACAAGATCAGTGCATTTATCGGAAATGCCGATCCCGTCATAAACGACCCCAACAGGGAGGGCAGAAACCACCATTTTTGATCCTTGTTAAACGCCAGCAACCTCCTCCAGGGCGTCTTATACGTCTTAGCAATCTCAGCTTTGCGCTCCTTCTCCTTTTCCTCCTCCGTTTTCAACAAAGACTCTCCTTGGTTGTCATCATCGGCATCATCATCACCAATTGTACCACTAGTAGCCGTTCTTGCCATACCACTCTTCTTCCTATTCACAACCTCACTAGCAGTATCAACCGACGACCCCGCGACCCCCTCAGTAGCGGCCACTTTCTCATCGTCCTTCACCGCAGCAGCAGCCTGCGCCGAAACCAAAGAGGCATAAACACCTTGCTGGGCCATGAGCTCATCATTACTGCCCTTCTCAACCAGTTCTCCCAATTTCATCACGAATATCACATCAGAATTCTTGATAGTAGACAACCTATGCGCGATCGAAATCGTCGTAATACTCACAGTAGACTGCAAGTGGTCGATCGTAGCTTGCACCATCTTCTCACTCTCGTTATCAAGCGCCGACGTAGCCTCGTCCAGCAGCAGAATCTCAGGGTGCCGCAGCAGAGCTCTAGCAATGGCGATTCTCTGCTTCTGGCCACCGGACATTTGACTGCCACCTGGACCAGCATAAGTGTCAAACCCCTCAGGCAAGCCTTCGATGAAATCCAAAATTTGCGCATCTTTGCAGACCTTCCTCATCTCTTCCTCACTCGGTACTCTACTACCAGTAAGACCATACCGGAGATTATTTCGAATACTATCAGCAAACAAGAACGGTTCTTGGCCGACATAACCGAACAGAGCACGATGCTTATGCACGGGCATACTTTTAATATCAACTCCATTGACAAGCACCTATGGAAAAAATCCCCGAAAAAAAACGGAAAAAATATTACTTTTCCCTCAGCAGGATCATAAAACCGTTCGATGAGCTGAACCAAAGTAGACTTCCCCGAACCAGACTCACCGACAAAGGCCACTTTCTGGCCACGCTTAATCTCCAGAGATACACCCTTGAGCACCTGATCAATAACATTGTGAACTGTAGGTCATATCTTTATTTTTAATTGGGTAATAATTTTTATTTTTTCATTTTCAAGTAAATTTATACTATATTTATATATCATTCATACCGCAATATATACAAAATACAGAATTAATTAAATTATGGTGACAAAAAATTAAATAAAGGATTAATTTATTTTTTTCCAAAAAAATTTATTGATGCCTTTAGTGTTTAATACTATTAAACACGAGACATCAATAATTTTTCTGCAAAAAATAGGAAAAAGTATAAAAAAAGACGGAAAAAACGGATAAAAAAAGCGAAAAAATATTAATATCTATAAAAAATATCAAAAAATATTAAAACCTCTTGTCCCCACACACCTGCAGTGTTGGCCTAGCTGGGTAGTTGAACTTCACGTCATCCAACTGTAAAGATTCGAACTCAACCGGAATCATATTAGCCTCCGCTTCCCCTCCCTCGGATAGTCTTTTGACCTTAGGCTCAATCTCCGCGTTCTCGGCCATCAGCGGGAATATTTTCCCACCAGCAGCACAGCCCTCAGAAAACGCCTGAGGGGAGGAAAAATGTATGTTCGCAATACTCAGAAATTTCATCGCAATTTTCATATTGTCGTATTTTTCACGCTGGTGTTGGAGAAGTATATGTCCACTCATCTCAGCTGCTAAGGTGAGTAATTTATACACGAACTAGGGTAAGAGTGTACACAAACCATTGAGCATTCCTCAAAAAATTTTGATATTGTCACTAACACATGTAGTTGATCCTGCGCATAAGTCCACACACTGCTGAAGGATGCTCAGCTGCTGAGAAAATTGTAGAAGCTATACACCAATTATGGCAGAGCAGCAATTTCTCAAAATTTCATAACAATGTCACCAACACATGTAGTGGCATAGTTCGTATAGGAACTTACTTGGAAATGAGGGGCGATCTGAGCGATAGAGAAAGTTGCCATCATAGCAGACATAAAGACCGTCAATACATCCCCACCCTGATAAGGTCTACCAGTTGAGGGATTTATGGTACGGTCTCGGATCAAGGTACCACCATACCAGAACGTAAGAGCATACGTCCAGAATACCACCAGCATAGTAAACCCTATTGCAAAGCCTCGATAAACTGACACCTTTACACCAGATTTCAACGCTTTCTGAACCTTGGCGTTGTAGCGATCAATAGATCTTTGCTCGCCACCGAAAGAGGCGACCGTCTTGATGGACGATAACACTTCCTCAGCAACAGCGCCAGCCTCAGCGTATTCATTCTGGCCCTTTGAAGCGAGAGTCGACATCACCTTTGCCATAAGGAGGCCACACACCATAATGAGAGGACACGTAGCGATCATAACAAGTGTTATTTGCCAACCTCTGTAGAAAGCAATAATGTAACCAACAATACACATAGAAACATTCATACACATCATAGAGGCTTTTTGACCAATCGCATCACGGACCTTGAGGACGTCCTCAGACATGCGAGCGGGTAGCGCCGCAGGGGTCCTAACATCAAACCAAGCAATGTCTTGGCCAACTACAGCTTGTAAGTATTTAACTCTCAACCTCGTCACTTGATTTTCAGAGAAATATGAAAAACAAGCGTTGAAAATGGAGGCAGCCACGAAAGAAATCGCGCCCAATACGCACATTTCCCAAGCAACTTTGGATATCCTATGCATGAAACCGGCAATACCACCAGCAGCAGCATCAGCAAAGTTGCCAAACAAGAGCGAGAACAGTGGCATCAGAGCACCGTTTATCAAGGCGGCCGCGACACCTATGGCAAGGATGATCTTGTCGTGTTTATCGGCCAGAGCGAACAGAGTGAAATAAGAAACCGACTTATTGTCTTCAACTCGAACATTGTTAGGGTCATCAACATCATCAGTAGTAGAACCGTTGTTATCAACAGCAGTAGCCTTCTTGCCGAAGAACTTCTTAGCGAAGAAACATTTATTATTGCCTTTACCGTTAGCTCCCATGTTTCGGTGCTGCTGCTAGAAAGGCTTGTGAACACAAGAAACAACAAAATCTCCTAACAGGAGTGGAACTAAGATAATAATCATAACTCAAAGAGTTCGCAGTAATTCAGGCCGCCACCGACAACACTTTCCCTACGCAGTACTCAGAAACGGATGATATCCGTGCCACGCTATAAGGACAGAACACAACGGCCTGTCCCTTTATCGGGTGTGGGCACATAAGGTCGAAGAGTGAGCCGCATGGATAACGCAAGTTTTCAAGTGCAGCATTTTAGTTCCAGATGGGTCTAGAGAATAATTGGGCCTATAACTTAGGGACCTTAGTGATTTATGGACCTAAACTTTAGGGCTAGGACCTAACGCTAGGCGTATGACCTTAAAATGGCTTAATCAGGTATCACAAAGAGGAAGGGATTTTTAAGGAAGTCCTAAACTAAAGGTGAAGGGAAGAAGCTTAAGATCCTTAAGTGATCAGGACCTCTGAAAATGATCGAAAAATATAAGGTGCAGAGATAGAACCCAGGGACATGGGCATATCAGCATGTCGTCTTAGGCTAAGACTCTTAGCCTCCAGACAAACAAGCAATAAGACTGTTAGCCACACAGTTACAGGATCTGGAGACTGTGCCTTAAGAAGGAACAAGTATACTGGGAGTCGAAGGAAGCCCAGAAGAATGAGGAGCACGTGGCAAGGATGACAGCCCCTCTGCGAAAGAGGCATTTTATGATACGTAAAAGAGTCGTCTTCAGTAGCGTCGCCTTTGTGACAAAGGCTTTGTTGTAATTACGATTTGTGATGGTTTCCGATTTCCTCTTATCTTTCTTAAGCATGAAGTAGTGTACGTGATTAATCAGTTTAACTGATTAATCAGACTCTGATACGGCAATGTACCTATCATTCTGCTCCTCTTCATAACCTCTTCCTTTCTGTATAGTTTCTACTACTTCATTCCCAACTGCACTGCGATTACGCTCAAAATTTTATGATTTTGGATCTGGAATGTGTCATGCAGTTGTGCAGTTATGAGTGGTTCTAGGCGAGGGACTCTGTGAGAGAGATAACCGCACAACTTAACTCAAGGTCTCAGATAGGATAGATCTAGAGTAGTGAGCGATAGAGCAGTCCAGTGCGTGGAACGTAGACACGCTGAAGCAACTACCCAAGCTTAGTAGCTGATCTAATTCGCGAACCGCAACCGTTACTGAAATGGCGAAACGGTGAAACGGTTAGATATGATCTTGCTCACTTGAGTTTCCTCAATGTTATTGTCGTCACAGGACAGTTCTGGGGGCCCGGAATGAGCATACAATGGTATCACAGAATATAATCATCATCAATAATGACGGTCAGCGCTTGGTCATCTTGAGGTTGTCAAGGAAACGGACGGACGCTCGAGTCAGACGGAAATCGGTCTTGTTGTCGGGGAAGTCGTCAGAGTCTCCTTGGACACGAAGTAGATAGGCAGTCGGAGAAGAGACCATATCAGAGCGAAGACATAGAGAGTTTCCGTCGGCAGAACGGTCTGCTAGTTGCAGTCGGTAAAGGCCTTGGTCAACGCTGATAACCCTTCCACATTGGAGTCCACCTCGACCAGAAGAAGTGATGTAGGCGAAGTTCTTCACTTCAGGATGGGGGTCACCGGTACGGCGTGGAACAATAGCCCGTTTAGTCCTTGGCCGAGAGGAGGTCGAAGAAGGCTCGTGAATGACTGTGTCGTCTGCTGAAGAGCCGGTGGTTGATGTGAAGGCCTTCGAAGGTAGAGCACTTGAAGCAGTGTCGTTGACGTGAGCGTCGTCCTGAGCACTTGCTAAGGCCTTAGAAGAATCATCTTCAACTTGGGGGCTAACGGTGGCCTCGGCGCTACGAGCCTTGTCAGGAATGGACTCATCAGGAACTCCATGAGACTCTGGGGGCCCAGGCAGGGGCGTTTCAGAGTCGTGGACAGGATCAGAAACCGTCCGCACCACGTTGTCGATGGGCTGGAAAAAGACAGACCGATAACGGTTGGCGCCAGTGATGGGAGTCAGCTTGACTGAGTTGCCACAACGTTGAAGGACTCGGAAAGGACCGGTAGTGGATGAGCTGAGCTTAGTCACACGTCTGGGCAGCTTGAGATAGACAATGTCACCCGTGTTGACAGTAGCAGCTTTATCACCAGCCCGAACTCGTCGTCCTTCACAATCCTTCTCCCAAGTAGAGAGTAGCCATTCACTAACCCGAGCAGAGGGCTCTTGAAATGCTTTCGGGAAAGTGGGGTCGACTGGAGGAGAAAGGGTAGCACACTGTAGATAAGGATAAGTGCGAGCCAGGTCCCAAGGAGAGTTGACCAAACCGGAGTCATCCCAGCGAAACTGAGCATTGGAGCGAGCGGTGGCCTCCAGGACAGTGAGATCACATGGTTGGTCACGAGCTTGGAGGAGGCGAAGCTGCTCATTGAGCTCGGCATGGCGGCGCTCGTAGGCACCTCCACGTTGAGGAGACCGGCTATAAATGAACTGCATTTCGATAGAATAGGAGAGGCATAGACATCGGAACTCAGAGCCCCGGAAGGACTGAGAGTTGTCACACCGAAGGCCTTTAGGAACCCCTGCAAGGGCCAATATCTTCTTGAAGGCCAGCGTAATCTGCTCGAAAGAGGTGCTAGAGACCGCTACAGCGAGCTGGTGGCCCGACAGCAGACAAGTAGCCACAAGACAATAAGGGAGCCGTTGAGAGCCTTCTCTTACTGGGACATCATAGGGGCCGGTGTGGTCGAGACCGATATACTGCCAGACAGCTGTAGGAGCCGCGAAGGTGCCAGCAGGAGCATGGAGAGGGCGCTGGGACTAAGCGGAGAGACAGGAACCACAGTGCGCTTCATGCGGGGCCAGGCATACATGGTGCTTAGGCGCCGCAGAGTTGCATTGATACCTCCATGATGCCATCCGTGACACTTGACAACCAGCAGTCGTTGAAGAAGAGTAGACAGCTTCGGTATGACCAACTGGTTGAAGATAGTACCATCACCCGCTTGACGTGTCGACCGATAGATAAGGCCTTCGTCAGTCTTGAAGTGAAAGGGCGACTTGTGGAAGGCCTTCAAATGGAGGCGTTGTTGATGACGTATAAGCAGACGCAAGGGGTCGGCGACCGTGCTTGTGCTGGAAGCTGGAGTGCCTGGTAGCAGCTCCGTCCTTAAGGCATGCCACGCCTTGACGAGGAGCTTGAAGCGGAACAGTCGCTCAAGAAGATGAAGCGAGTCGTCGTCCACTGTGAAGGCCTCCTGGACCAGGAGTCCTGGTCAGTCTTCTTACTTTCACCAGCGGGACTAGGGGTCGTCGCTGTACTAAGTGACGCCAATGTAACCTTGGGTTTTGAAGACTCCTTCTTGGACCAACGCGTGGGGAGAGCAGTAGGAACATACTCTGGGTCAAGGCGGAAAATCATAGGACTGGCTTGTAGATCACCGTCGTTGCATCGCAGAAGGTCATCATGGAAGGCTCGGATGTGGCAGAAGAGAGCGTCGGAGTCAATGAACAAAGACTTCGGCTGGCACCTTGGGGGAGCATCGGCCAGGTTAGACTTGCCGCTGAGATGCGATACCACCACACGAAGGCCTTCACGACGGGTCTGTGACTGGTGGATAGCGTTCTTCACCTTGAGGCACTCTCCTGATAGTCACAAGGTCGTCTACGCTGTGGGCCGTGGTCGGAGTCACTTGACGTAGCCGAGAGATAGAGATACTGCTGTCAGTGAAGACCAGAAGATGATGGACAGGAGAGTGGTCGTTGGACTCCTGAAGCATAGCCGATGCCCACTCCAGCGATGACGCCAAGGTGTCCAGCTCAAACTTGGGGGCCGTACGACGTCCTTGGAGTTGGTGGAGATACCCTGAACCTGCAATACGCTGGCCGTGGAGGTCGTACAACAGAGCAGCGCCTGCGGTGTCACGGCTGTCTGTGAAGAGACAGACAGAGTTGCAGTGACTTTCACCTGGTCGACGTAGACGTCGGGGGACCCTTAGGTCGAAGGCCTTCAATTGATTCTCCCAGGCGACAAGAGCCTGGGTGTCCTCAGAGCGGAGGTGACCAGTGTGCGGGTCGGCGTTAGACCTGGCTTGGCGGCACAGGAGGCGGAGCTGCATAGAGAGCTCGAGATGCCAACCGAGGGGGTCGTAGAATCCGTTGCCGTAACGCTTGAGAAGCTTGACTGTGGTCACCGTTGAGGCCTTATGACGAAGGTCTGACTTGAGAGACAGAGAGTCACACTTCGGATGCCATCGCACACCTAGACATGGTTGGGGATCACTGGGTATCTGGTCGGGAAGGTTGCTGACCTCCTTCTTGTCATTGGTCTCGAACATGCGATGTGACAACCGCTGAGTGATGCCTCGACGAAGGGCAGTAAGATGGAGAGCATCATCAGAGCCAACGCAGATGTCGTCAGCTAACACGTTATCCCAGCTGCGTTTGGTCTTCTTTTCGGAGAAGTGTTGACCCCTAGACTTGGTGACTTCATCATCTTCGCTGAACATCATCTCGACCTCCGCTCAACATCATCTCGATCTCCGCTCGGGAATCAGCTGCCACAACGTAGTCGTCCATATACCGTCCTCTGGCACCATGATTCAGATAGGCTTGAGCACCTAGTGCTAGCCTCTTCAGGATAGTGCAGTGTAGGACATCATCAGTGTCGGTCTCGGAGGCAGGTTTGCCGTCGCTTTCTGCGAGCATTCGCATGTTACTTTTCTCGACGTCAACGATGACACGGCGTAACTGCTTTGCTGCTTCACTCGGTCTCTGCTGGTATAGTTGATGGGGATGTAGACCGTAGAGCTCTTCAGCTGTTGCTAGACATGGTCCGTCGAGAGCTAGTCTGATAGGGTGTGCCATCGGATCACCGTTCGCGCCATTCAAGCGTGCAGCTGTCCTCTCATTGGCTTCGGCAACCATGATGCTACCGGATAGTTGTAGTATGGCTAGAGAGCCGGCAATACCCATCACTGGACCGCGAAACTTGAAGAACTTGTAGACGATGTCATCAGTGAAGTCGTCGAAGGTGGCCAGGACGAATCCCATTGAGAGCGTGGTGCGCTCTGGGACTCGACAGTTGAGAAACGCAGCCTTCAGGTCGGCCCATATGCAATATTTGTAGAGCCGAGTATAAGCGAGACATTCCCATGTCCCCCGATCGATGGTAAGAGCTGCTTGTTGTGCCCTATTACCAACCCTCCAGTCGAATACCGGCCTCACCGTGGTACACCTGCTGGACTCGCCGTTATTCGGCCCACCCTTGATAACGGGGAAGTGTGGAGTGAAATACACTTGGTCCTTTGGTACTTGTAGACTCTACAATGTAGAGGCTCGATGTATCCGCGAGACAAGTAGTCCTCGAAGGTATCGGAGTAGGAAGACAGGAGACCCTTGCGCCTCAGAGATTTAGCGAGTCTGTGAGCATGGTTCTCAGCAAATTTTCGGTTGCTCGCCGAAGGAGAAAGGCGGTCTCTATCCTCTAGCCAGTTGAAGTCATGTAAAAACCGTGTGCATGCTCGGGTCAGCGACCTACTGGTGTCCATCACTAGTTGGTCAGCATAGGTTCCTCGGAAGCTGCATAGGGGATGGTTGAGAGCCTTTTCTAAAGGTAGAGCCTCCTTGAGGTCAAGCTTGTTACCAACGAGTGACTGGTTTCCCGCAGCAGCATACAAGTCAAAGTTGAAGTCCGAGTCGATGCGACACTCAGAGGATGCAGCCAAGTGATCCTGCGTAGAATCTTCAACATAGAATGCATCAGAGCCTCTGCAACTTCCTGCAAGTCGCCTCTGATTCAGAGGCGACTTGCAGGAAGTTGATGGTGTCGAAGAGGCATATATCCGCGCCAGAGTCAACGTTGTTCACGAGAGCAGCGAGATCTTCTACGCAGCCATGTCCACCCTTTACTGCATTGCAAGGTTCGGCTGTTTTAGATTTAGAGGGCCGCACTTCGTCTACCCGGAGGAGGGTTTGAGCTGGATCCACACCACTATGAACACGAACACCTTGGGCGCTGAAAGACTTTCAGTGAAAGTCATCCCAATATGGAGGGACTTGAGGCCTTCCACCCCCAGGAGCATGTTAGGCAGCAGAGTATCAGGACATAGGATCCGTAGTTTGTGGACATCATGTGGACGTCGAGGTGAGCAAACTGATACTAGTGCCACCTTGCTCGCTGGCATGACTTCGCCTGATACTCCCACAGCTCGGATAGCATGATTTCCATCCGGTTTTAGCCATTGGACAGCTGAGCCGAGAGCTTGGAGGATATCGGGTTTGGCATAGTTATAACCGGCTCCAGAATCCAGAACCGCTTTGATGGTTCTAGAGTTAGAACCACTACCGATGATAAGCTCTGTGCAGACGGGACCTGACCGATCGAACCGAAGGGTGTCCTTCGCGATCTGCTGGATGTGGAAGGTCATGTCTGATGCAGTTTTGGAGCGATTGATAGGAGTAGTTGCTTCAAGAGGTATAACCGTGAGGTCCAGCTTGAAAACTACGTTGGTAACACCCTCAACCATAGAGCGGTGAACCACATTGTTGACCTTTGGAGATGGGCACATGCCAGAACGGTGCTCCTTCGAGCCACACCTTTCACAAGAGATGGTGCCACTCTTCAGTAGCTTGCAGCGCGACGTAGAATGCCGGAAGCTCCCACATCTGCAGCGTTGGTTTTCCTTGTGGGGATGGTCCGCATCGCAGTCAATAGTCCGATGATCGCTGCTGAAGCACCGGAAGCATGTGGCCTTCTTTCGGGATTGTTGGTCGGTAGCGGGACTCCTAGACGGTTGGGTCTTCGAGCTCATCGACGGCTTATCAACTTCTTGCTTAATTGTAGGCGTTGGTGTACTTGAAGTGCCGACATGGAAGGCAGGCCACGGGGGAGGTTGTACAGACTGTTGCTCTTGTCGGGTTTGCGGTACTTGGCGACTATGACCCAGAGAGAGAGCCTTCTCTTTCACTCTTCTGATCACCAGGTGATCATCACCTCCTGAAGGTCTTCGTAGGTAATGGTCTCGATGGTTCTAGAAGCTTCATCAAGAGTAGATTTTACCTTCTCGTACCACCAGTCATTATAGGGCTCGTTCAAATTGGCACGGACAGCTGAGTTGATGTGGAATGCGTGGATTTGAGCACCAGGACAGCCATCGCCTTGTGTGACTTCTCGTAGGGCTTCACGGATGCTATCAAAATAGGAAATATATCAGTGTTGCCCTGCTTTTCACCAAGTATTTTCCGTATGAGAGCTGTAACATAAGCGGCCTTGTTGTGGTACTTGTTCAGATATACGGTAATAGCCCTCCATAGGTCTCTATGATAAGAGTAAGTATTAGTATCTCTGCTGACCGTAGAGCTCTTCAGATACGAGTCCTTGATGTCACCGGAAAGATCTCCCGTAAGAGCACTGGAGTGTAATGCTCTCACAGCTTCTGGGCTATCGATAGTTCTCCATTCTTGTTGGATATGTTTGTTCCACTCTCTCAATAAGGTTGTCAAGGCGACGCGTGGATCTTCGCCGCCCATGAATGCTTTATAGCCTTTCCTCCTCCAGCTGTCGCCCAAATCGTTAGCGCCCTTCTTGATGGCTCGCAATTCCACTTCGGTGATCTTGTCATTCGATGCCTCCCTCGATACTAGGACTTCGCTCGGATATATCCGACGAGTATCACCCCTTGAATGAGATAGAGGGTATTGAGACCCAGAGTGGATGAACGCGTGACCATCAGAGCTGCGACCAGCTTGATAGGATAGATGCCCTGCTTGGAGAGGAGATTGACCTTGTCGTGAACCTTGTTGACCGAGATGGCGAGAGACAGAATCTTGGTAGGGGGATGCGGGACCAGTGTTAGACGGCACCTGAACTTGTTCAGGCGGTCGTTGACTAGCATGAGCGAACCCTTGTCCGTGATCGAAAGATGGATGATCAGTGTAGGACATATGATAGAATCCTTCCCGAGGCGAACGACCGGTCAACTGATAGCGAACAGGGACACATCTTGTTCCAGGATGTACAACACCTTGAAGAGGGAGATGATCTTCATCACCATAGGCATGTGCATACTGTTGGCGTGAATGAACGGAGTATGAGGGCATGAGGCCTTCGTGCGGTGGAGGTAGGCGACGGTGATGATGGTATATAGAACCTTGTTGTTGAGAAAGTAGGTGACCGGTATGAGAGAAGATAGAGCGTTCTTGTTGAAGAGGTAGATGTTCAGTATGTGAGAATGTAGAACCTTCTTCTTGAGGCTCTAGATGACCAGTATGTGAGAATGTAGAACTCTCTTCGTGGAGAGGTAGATGACCTTCGCAGGAATGTATAGGCCTTTCATGTTGCGAATGTAGCTGTACATTGTGTAAAGGTGTGGGCTGTTCTCGTCGAGGAGAGCGATGTCCGTATGATCTGAGTTCTCGTGGAAGCCTCGAGGGTGGCGGAATCGGCAGTTGGCCAGCAAGCCTGCGAGACGCACGCCGGTCTTCACCAGGTGGCAGGGCTTCTAGCTCGGCACCGTTGTTCCTCTGTTGAGTTCTCGGATGATTGTCCTGTTCCTCGGAAGGCATAGTTGAACTCAAACCCTTGAAATTGGGAAAGTCTGTCTTAATTCAATCAATAGTGGCCGACTAGCAGCCGTTTCATGGCGTGCGCTATATAGATAGGCATACTCGGCACATCGTATCATCCTGGGCCGGTATGCGGATCCTGATCCACGCGTAATCCTGAGAAAAAAATCACGTCATCAAGATCAATGTGATGATTTTATGACATGAACCTGATTTTTTTGCTCAGATCAACAAAATTGGGATCATGGGACAGGATCATAGATCATTCTTGTGATCCGTAGATCACATCACCCATGATCCTGTCAGTTTTGGATCGGGATCGTAGATCATGGATCAGTGACCTAAAATTGATAGATCACGACTCACGATTCATCAGTGATCCGATCACGGTCGATCACTCGCACGAATCAGTATTGATGAGATGAGCGCGATCAAGAATCACCGCGGAGCGATGCTGCTTCGCTCCTTTTGTTGCGCATATTCGAAAGACAGAATTTAGTAAGTAAAAACCCTTGGTACGGGAGTGTGGGAAGGGGAAGAGCACACAACCCTTACGCTATTGGCAGCTTGGGAGTTGGTGCTCTTCCATGTCTAACGATGGCTTAGAGGATGTTGAGCAGCTAAGATGCTAACCATCGAGCCGATGGTGCGTCACCATCGTCAGACATCTCCCGACCTAGGGAAAGAAAGAAAAAAATGATTCATGACCGCACCTCGGTGCGCCCATTCGCGCGAGGAATCGCGATGAATGTTGATGCCTATGAGGGTGTTGCGATCGATTCACCACAGCGCACGCAATATGATATCGATTAACCGGGAACACAATGCAGTGCACGCGTGCACTCCCTCCCTTCCTGTTTTTACTATCGCTACGTTTCACTGCGCTCTCAATTGCATTGTAGATAGGTTGCCAAATGTCTAGATAAAAATATACTATTGAGTTTTTTGCTTAATCTGTAGAAATGACTAGGTTTCTTACACGGCCATCGTGTCTATTTGAATTGCTTAGAGTTTGATATATTCCTCCATCCGCCTTCCTCCATCTAAGCCTTAGATGGACGGAGACTGCCTGCGAATATATGAATCTCCTCAGTATGCATTTACAAGTGAATCTTCGTACCACGAAGTGTGTAGTAGCATTTTGAAGGGATCAGGATCACGGATCACGAGTAGTGTAACGTAGCAAAAAAGCCCCGTTACGGGATCACGGCATTTTAACACGCAAAGTACCACTGATCCGTAAACTGATCCTTTTGATGGATCAGAAGCTTGATCCAATATTTGATCCGGATCAGAGGGTGATCCTTCGGGACCGAATGGATCACGGATCAACGAAATTTCTCAACCCGTCTGAGAATTTCTCAACCCCTTGATCTTTGGATCACGGATCAAGTTTTTTCTCAAGAATCATAGATCAGGATCAAAAATGAGGTTCACGCGAGATCCAGATCACAGATCACGGATCAGTATCAAAGTTCAGGGATCGAGATTAACGGTCAAGGATCAGGATCAAAGATCACGGATCGAGATCAAGAATCGCAGATCTGACTCACGCATCTCGGATCACGAAAGATCAGTCAAGTCAATAACCCTGATCATTACGGCACGACATCTCACAATACGCAGGAATCCTGCGGCAGGATTATCACCAAAAATTACACCACACATTAGTAAAACTTGGATCGTTTTGGCTGTGGTCAAGATAGTCAACCGTTTAACAGAATCAAATGAGAAACAACACATACTTCGACATTCCGTCCTAGGGGTCATCTGGAAAGCAGATTCCGTGAAATTCATGGAGCCACTAAAGTTGCTCCTTAACTGTGCCTTAAATCTAGGAATGCCTCGACAAGCTTCTTAATAGTGTGCTATAAACTGAATGAACGCTATATGATGTATTACGTCGAGGCTTGCTGGAGTCGAACGGAAGACCCATTTTTCTCACTGACCAAGGCATACATCATAGTGGTGGCCATTCAAGCCCTTCAATACCATAAATCCCAAGACTGCTGCTCCTTGACTGATACAACACAAGATGATCTTCTCGGGTGAGAGAAGTACAGCGTAGAGCGGCAAACTGATCGTACCAATTGTAAGGTGAGAGGACTATTATGTGCTCGTATAACATGCACGAGCAAAGATACGTCAGTATGGAACGGTCTACTGTACGAACGAAAGATGTAGGGTGGTCATGATATCAGGACATCTCAATCAAAGCGTCCAAAAGTCAAACAGAAAGTCATGACAGGCTTCTCGCAGAAGGCAAGAGATCTAAAGTGAGATCATCTACTCTTCCAATATCCACCAGTGAAGAAATTCTCGGAGATACTCTGCGCTCCACTGGGCTCATACAAGAACATCATATGACCCGCGTCAAGCACCTGAATGAACCATTGATGATCTCTGGGTCTCGAGGGACCTCAGAGACAACCCACGAGGCTGTACTTTGATGAATGCGAGCTTCGCTCCATTTGTATACTGTGAGGCCCACATCTTGCCGAAATTCCTACCATCAACCTACGAGAGCCATAATGGGGTAACATCGTTGTGGAAGATACTAACCTTGATATCCTTAGCAGGGGATTCCTTGAGCAACTTCCCGTAGTCTTTAACTCCTTTCAATTTCGAAACCCCTTCGAACGCACCGACAGCATTGGTCATAAAATCTTGGTCACCGTTCACGACAAGTACCTTGATGCGAATTTGTTATAGTTATATCATTCGCCGCCTGACTGAAGAGGTGCTCTTTGTTCAGCTTCATTCAGTACTTCTTAGGTGATAGTACAGAGAACGGTACGCCATGCGGATAACTCTACGAAAGGCTTTTCGACAGCTCACTTTCAATCCTGCATCGAGGAGACTTGTGACCTGATATGTTGTATCATAGGCAACGAATCTAACGAATTGGTCGTGGACCTAATATCAGTATCCTTCACATAGGATACCATGGAGTTAGAGTACTTACCTGATGATTATAGGGCATCCACTCTTTTGAAACGCCCAAGGCTTGCTGCACAGACTTCAGGTTCAAGAGGTCGGGCACCTTTGAGCAATACGCGGTTCATTAGGGATGAACTCCAGAGTGATAAAGGAGGCATCGACTTCAGATAAAACCATGATATCAGCAATAAAAGGCCGTAGAGAGGTTGTCACACGTTATACGGTGAAGCCTACTAGCTTACGTTCCCAGGGTGAAGTCTGTAGGAAGTGTTCTCCCCTCCAGGTGGCACGCGGATGTCGTAACTAAGTGAATTAGGAAAGCGACCTTCAAAGATAGAAAGGATCCTTTGAATGCAGACTCTGCATTGCAGAGAGTCACTACTACTCCAATGATAATATTGAAAACACCATTAAGTTATAGATTGTGTGAGAGTAAACAACCATTACGCCGTAACCCAGCGTTCAAAATGGATCACTTGGATGTCGACCCACTTACGCGCTTGTTCCTGCTGAAATAAGCCGCTGCGCGGTGTTGTTTTCACAGGTGTTCAGAGCTTGCTTGCAATAAACTAATATTACAGGGAATGCACATCATTTCGTTAGGGGAATATCTCCGTAGATGGCCCACGTTTAAATGTCGGGAGCTAACCTCGGACGTGAAATTCATTATTTGAGCTCACCTGAGATCGGAGTCCCTCCGGGGCCATTACGATTGCACTCAGCTAGTCGATCTTTACATTGAACCAGCCCTGCTTTCATCTGGTCGATGCTGAGAGAAAGTGCAACTCCACCACTAAATCAGTGAGAAAACGACTCAACTCTGCCGAGGGTAGCAGTTTGTGGTCCTGTGCCATCTGTAAGCATCCTTGATATCTGGGATGGTCCTCATCACACATGCCACATGTCACAACAACCTTACGTAGCTAGAGGCGCTACAATTCCAGAAAGCATCATCACTCCAACCAGATTGACCTTGAAGCCGACAGACTTGACCAGCCGTGCCCCCAACGTTGCCATCATCTGGGCTGAGGGGAGGGGAGGGGGGTTTATACACTTATTGCCGGTGATGTGATCGCCTCGGAGTTTACCCGACGACGAGAAGCCGACTAGATGCACGCCATTGTTTAGGTCTTTATGTTCTTCGAAGAACTTTTTGACGAAGTCCACCCTAAAAGAAATCCGACTGGATCATCATTGCTGTTGTTGCGTGAACTCACAGGTCTAATATTAGATTCTCCCATCCGGCACCGATAGGTCCTTGACTGAAACCTGTAGGTATCGGTGCATCGACCCAGATACCGTTAGCTTGTCTCGTCCATGAGAACCTAGGGCACCGGAAGCGTCTACGGGCTACTGAACGTGCATAACTCAACTCGTTTTCGATGAGGGAATCCTCATCCATGCGACATGGTCCGTTAGCTGTCAACATAATTCCAAGGCTGCTGGCACCGGGACCACCAGAGATGTATAAGAAGGTCTGTGCTGTTTTAGGATTGCCATCGGCCTGCATGATAGTGTAGAAGTACCTGGTACAGATATAGCAGCAGCACACCTGTAATGATCTGCAACGGATCCAGACTCACCAACCTATGCAAGGGGCTTGTTTGCACGTATCCATACTCCTGGTTTCCACTGCCCTTGGGGCATAATGTTTTACCTTTCTTCGATAGCTCAGACCGAAAGCTTGAGGCAGCTACGAGAGCGATAATAAATGAGAGGAATAAGACCATTTTATCTGGGGTGTAGCTTTGTTGCAGGAGAAGTTACGCTACGATGCACGCGTGAGCCTTGGTGGACCTCTATAGGCCAATACCTTGTACCAAAATCGATATCTCACTGCTATAACTAGATAAGCCAACTCGACTCCAGATTCTTGTAGTATACCAGCTAACTCAGTGATATGGTAGTGGCACTAGCCAGTTGTAGGGTATTTAGTTACTGTCGATCGATACCACAAATATAAGACGGATGTAACGTCCTCTTAATCAAGACATTCACCCACGGTCAGAAACCCGACACTTTCATCTGCGCTTGATGATGAGTTTGTCAACAGAAGATGTTTTCAACTTGCTACCAAAGTTTTATCACACCCTGATGTTACCAAAGGAAAAGATCTCAGAAGTCTCCCTCATTCCGGCGCCCTTCTGCTCTACTAATACCGATCAACTCGCGTACTTCACGTAAAAAGCTACCAATGAACAAGATTCCGCACACACTTGTGCGACATGAACTTGTAACAAACCCTACACGGATAGATTAACTGTAAAGAAATGAAGAAAGAAAGACAGACATGAATCCTGTCATAGAATCGCCGTTGGAGGCGGCTGCTCAGATCGTCGTAGTGGTACGTCCACGCGCGGCAGTGTCCCCCCAGTCACTCTTTTTCAAATAACCGCGAGCACCAGAGTCTCGCGGCCAGAGTATTCTATATCATAGAATACGGCTTATAGAATCTATAAGCGGGTCTTGACTAAGATTGGGAAGTTTCCCTCAAATCCGGGCCAGTTTTTCAAAGACGTGAAGATGCGTTTCGGAGCTTTAGATTCTTCTTGTTCTGAAAGATCTACAATTCGTGCGGTCTGCTCACGGCGTGAGCCTCACGCGTGCGGACTTCGTGAATTATGAACGCTGCACTCGTGCGCAGACCGTGCAAGCGCAGAGTATCACAATGGAACTCGGAGAATCGGGAACCATTTCCGATTATCTACACATTTTCCCCGTCGTGTTTACAATAAGTAGCGATAGAGTACGAGCGATACAGCGATATAAGTACAATAGAGTAGCGAGATATACCTTAGTTTTTTAATTCCGCACGGAGCTCGCAGAAAATTTTAATTAGTTTTGCGCCTTCAAAAGAAGTTTTTTCAATCCTTATAAAATACTCTGCTCGCGGCTATCTCCGACAACAACCTCGTCGGTGCAAGCTTTAGCGAAGCCATCACCTTGGCAAAAGTTCTCAACAGGGCCGTAGCACCTTCCGGCGCTGCGTCCGCCATGAGAGTGGTATCATCGGCATTCAAGTACACCGGAGAAAACGTCGACCGTCCTCGCTGTCTAATATGTGAACGGTTCACATATTGGACAGCGAGGTGGGCACCCGGCGATTTTCCAGTCGCCCGGCCCGGCCCGGCCCGGCAGCCTTTGAACCCGCCTCCCCGGCCCCGGTGACCCGGCAGTCTTTTCTTACCCATGTTCCGGGTTTAGCGGGCCCGCCGGTTTGGCCGGGTAACCCGGCCCGGATTGCCAGGCAGGAAGGCTTTCGGACATGATCGACGATGAGAACTTCTTATCAAGAGGAACCAATATCAGGGCTGCATGGATCAAACAATATTCCAATGTGCCAAGTCATGCGATTTAAACGCGAAGTGCGCGTTAATTTCCAGGGAACGCGGCGATTCGTGGAAATTAACGCGAAATTCCGCGCTACGCACAATTAAGAGCACTATTAATGGCTTGAAATATCTGCGCTGCCGGGTTTCCGGGTGACCCGCAGACAGTTGCGGGTCATTTTTCGCCCGCTCACCCGCATGAACCCGGCAAAATCGGCGGGGAAGCCGGGTTTGTGACTTTGACTCGGCCCGGCTGGTTCCGGGGCCGGGCCGGGGCGAATCGGGTCGCCGGGGCCGGGCAAGGGTGTCCATGTCAGGGTTGGGTTCACAGTGAACCCAACCTTCAGTCTTCCGATCCTCTACAGAAGGCCCCGCATACAAGCCCAGAACATCAGCGCCCGTTACCAAACAAACCAGTACACAATCTCCTTCCTTTAGCTTGGCAGGGTCCACAGTGCCCTCAACCGCCGGAGTGGCTCGGGTACGGTCCACTTCCTCACGCCTAACCTCCAGGTAACAAGGAAAGACGGCGATAGTTTCACAGGAAGTCGCCCCCAGAGGTCGGAGTCGAGTTGAAAACCCCGCCATGCGGCCCAAGTAGACAAAAGGATCGCTGTTGACGTTCACCGTCTGAACCTTCACCACATGATTCTCGACGTCCAGTGCACCTGGTCGACGCTATACCACCAATGTTCCGTCCTCCAGATCCGTGATATTCTTCTCATGTCCTCTTCCGGATGTCAGTGACATCCGGAAGAGGACATGAGAGTGACATCATGTCACTCTTCGTGCTGAATCCTGCAAGCGAGTCTCCAGCACCGTGAGTCGTTCACGATCCAAAAGGCGAACTATTTCCTTGATGTGGACGGGGTCCGTCGTCGATGGGTCTACCTCGACCGTGGCGCCGTCCATCTCCGTCCCGAACTCCTTGGCCTGGGTCATGGAACCCAATAGTGCTGCGGAGGGGGTTAGTATTCGACTCTCCAGGGCACTCGCACCAGAAGCACGAACAGCGGAATTAAGCGTCACTTGAGCATACCAGAGAGCCTCGTCCCAAGGGCCTTGGGCCAAGGCAGGTGCATCACCGATACGATCTGATTGATCCTCAGAGGATGATC